TATTGAAAAATATATGTAAAATGAGAAAAAAATCAAGGAAAGGATCGATGTGCGCTTGAACATATAGTGAAGTACCCGTCGAAGCAACCCCCCCCCCTCTCCTCCGGCGATTTGCGCTCGTACCTTGAGCTCGGGGCAGATGAAGGAGTTGCCCGCGTACGCGCCGTCCACGTGCAACCACACGGAGGGGAAGCGGCGGCACACGGGCCCGATCTCCATGAGGTTGTCGAACGAGCAGCACGACGTGGTGCCGAGCGTCGTGGACACGAAGAAGGGCACGAGTCCGGCCGCCTCGTCCTCCTCCATGGCCTGGCGCAGCGTCGGGCCGCGCAGGCTGCAGCGCTGGTCGGGCTCCAGGATGCGCAGCTTCACGAAACTGATCATGGCGGCCTTCTCGACGCACGAGTGCGACTCCTTGGAGCAGTAGGCCATGAGGCGGCCCAGCAGCACGCCCTCCTCGGCGCCCGGCTCCTTCAGCTTGAGGCGCTTGATGGCCTGCGCCCGCGCCGCCAGCATGCACACCAGCACGCACTCGCTGGCCGAGGTCTGCACAAGTGGGGCGTAAAGTTATCTCCGCGGCGACCAGGGCGGGGCGAGCAGAGACTCGAGAGACTGCTCACCTGTATTACACCACCACCCTTGCTGCCCTCCGCGAACGCCAAGAAGTCCACCGGCAGGCCGATGGCTTTCCCTGCGGGAGAGAGAGAGAGATAGTGAGGGGCGAATTTGCCGTAGACGAGACAGGGTAGCTGAGCAACAGCAAAAAGTAAAGTACCTAGCCAGTCGAGGACAATTGTTTCTAGCTCAGTACAGGCGGGACTTGCAGCCTAGAGAGAATGAGACAAACATGAAAGAGAAATGTGAAAACCGGCAGCATTTACATCAATAATTTAATGACATTGAGAGAAAAATAAACGCACCCAAGAGAAGCCAATGCAACCTATGGCGTCTGAGAGCATGTCACCGAGGATTGAGGGGTACGAGTTGCCTGAAGGGAAGTAGGCGTGGAACCGAGGGTGCTGCCAATGAGTTACCTAGAAGCAAGACGAGATGAAAAATGAGTACACCTTCCCTGACGTTCGGGATCTAGTCGGCCCGGACAATACTCATAGTCTTACCCCGGGCATGATCTTGCTCTCCACGTCGGCCATGATGTCCTCCCAGGCCTCGCCGTTCTCGGGCGCCTCCTTGGGGATGAGGTGCTTGAGGTAGCCGGGCTCCACGCTGGGCACGACGCGCCGCTCCGGCAGCTCCTCCAGGTAGCGGCAGATGTACTCGACCATCTCCTGGCCGCGGACGCGGAACTGGTTGCTGTCCATGTCGGGGCGGTGAGGGGTCGGGTCACGCCCGCAGCCTGGTCATAAGACGAAGTCCACGCGGACCTGCGGGCGCGGAGCAGGAGGAGTCAGCGGAGAGGTTACTTATCGAAAACGTGCGGGCGTCCCGTCCCAGTGGGTGTTGACTGCCCACTCCCCCTTTTTATTTCTCGCTCTCCATCTCTCCCTCTCCCTCTCTCGCTCATCCAAACCCCACCTGTCCGACACAGCTCTCACCTCACTGCTTCAAGAGCTCCAGAATTTTCCTCCGAGCATAGCGGCACCACCCAGGCATATTAACTTGATAAATGGGTCGTCCATAACATGCGTGTTTTTGAATAGCATGACCACGTCTCCTTTCTCTGACTACCGGCCTACACAAAAAAAAAAACGTAAGTTCCACAAGCTAATGATTAGCTGTGATAGCTTATATGTTGGCTGCCCAGGCACTAATTAACCTTTTCAGCTCTGGCAGCTAAACATTTGCTGCGGTAGCCACGCATTAGTTGAGAGAGCTAATTGCGTCATCCAAACCAGATCACGCAGGATAAGCTGTTATACGGAAGCATTAGTTCCTGCAGCTAATATTTGACCACCAAAGCAAAAAATAAGCTCCAACAGCTTAAAATTTAGCTACTGCCTGGACAGCTAACATTTAGCTAGGGCAGCTGAGGTTTTTTTTTCCTTGTAGACCTAGAAGAGGAAGAGTCTCTACGTTGAAAGAGAGACACATTCCATCCGGGACATACAACCCACACAGAGCTCGCCACGCGGATATTTGATAAAGCCAGATTTTTTTCTCCCCTTCGACAATTCAACACACGAGGCGGTATTTTATTATAAGCGGTATATGAGGCTATTCACGCGCGCGGGAGTCCATCCCCCTCCCCTCCCACACCTTGGTCCCCTTCACTTCACATGGCTGCCCCAGCTCCCTTGCCGCCCCAGCCCCAGCGCCAAGGTGAAACATCCCTCGCGCCGCGCCCCGCCCATGGCAAGGCGCAACCTCCGCGACGCCGACAACGACGCTTTGCTGCACAATGGGAGCGCGCGCCGGCGGCAACACGAGACGACGCCAACTCTACCAGAGAGAGAATGAAAAAAAAAGTAAACAAGAAAGGGAAATATGAAACGTGTCGGTACAATAGTCTGGAGACCCGGAATACGATGCGCTGCGATGCCGATACAGATTCCTGCTCCCGGTAGCGGGGTGAGTCGCCGAGACGAGGCGCCGCCCCCTCGCCTGCACGTCTCCTTCAGACCAGGTGTACAGTCAACACTGGCCGCTGGAACTCATTGAGCGAGCCCCGCCCCGCCCCGCCCCGCCCCACCCGCGCGCCCGGGGGCTCCAGCCAAGGCAGTGTTCTCAAACGAGTGGCTCATGGCGCAGACCCACGCGCGTCCGAGAGTAGTGCCAGGTGCCAGGGAGCTGAATGCGAGATTATGCTCGATATGCTAGCCGTAGTTACACTTCGCGAATACCGCTCTCACAACTGACGGCCGAGGGGAAAATCACTTGAGTTCGTAGCGTACGGGCTATTTCGTGGTATTTCTCGTGCCATTTCGGTTATTTATCGCCTATTTCGGATTACTTCAAGGTATTTCGGATTATTTCAGGGGTATTTCGCGACTATTTAACCGACTATTTCGCATCTATTTCGGGTCCATTTCGCTCTATTTCGACTTTACTTCGCCTTTATTTCGGACCATTTCGGGGGAAGGTGTACGAACTATTTCGGTAGTGATTTCCCCCTCGCTGACGGCATTTTGTTTCCGATCTGGCCGCTGAATAACGGCCGTTACGTTCCCGCAGCAGGCGCTGCAGCGGGCTGCGAGGCGCCTGGGTGGCCTACCTCCGCGGCTGATACGCCCGCCGCGCTTTGCTCCGATTCACGGTCTGCTGCGGGGCCAAGGCACGCCAAGGCTGCGGGCTCTCTGCCGGGAGGGATCAGCGCGATCCGCGTTAGGACGCGAGCGTTAAAAGGCCATCAGGGGGCTGGAGGCACAACAGTGATCACCGCCACCGTTAACTGGCAAAGTAACGATCTAATGTGGGCCGTTCTGCCGTAGTAGTGGCGGTGGTGGTAGTGAGCCCGCCCTACGCGGTGGTGGGCGTCATCCACCAGCCGAACAGGAACCGGGCCGTAATAGCATCAAAGGCGGAACGTAGTTGAAGAAGTTATTTACTTATTAGCATGGACCCCTCCCTTTATTTTGCGTATACTGTACCGCATGCAGTCGTGTGGGCGGGTTGCATACTCCAGGGGGCCATGAGGCACCGCGGTAAGAGACGGTAGGCAAGACCGCCCGCACGCCTGCACGCTTGCACAATAAAAGCAAAATATAAAGGAAAGGGTCTGTGGACCACCCTGCATGTTTTGGTCTCGATCGGGATGAAGTTTAAACACACTGAGTGCGCGGAATTTACAGGGCCTATGATTTTAACATCTGAGCGCGATCACATAATGGTCAACCATTAATATTGAATTGAGCTCGACGACAGTACAAAGTAGAGACATGACAGGTTGACATAGGCAATGTGACGTGACGAAGCAGTCTGACAAGGGGTCACCAACACAGGTTTAATTAATGTTCAAGAGTAGTGTAGATAGGTGCCTTTACAGCAGGGGTTCCGTCTCTCTCAGTCTGTCTCTTCTTGCTCTGAGTAGGAGAGTGAAATAAGGCTGCCATTTCGCTAATGGCACTACTTTACCTGTGCGACTGTTGCAACTCCCCCCTCCCCTCCCCCATCTCCTACTATCCTCGCAATTCAGTGCTACTAGTCTCAACGACTCGCCCGGCAGCCCATCCTTATTTGCCGTCTAAGTCAACAGTGATGCCCCCGTCGGCACCACCCTATCGCCTTCGCCCCCATGCCTCGGGGGGCAAATTTTGCCTCCGCAGGAGAGAGTCGTGCGTGGGGGAGGGCATGGCTACACACGGACCCCCGTAGGTCCCGTAAGTCGCCGATGGCCCCAGACTAAGAGTGACTCACTCAGTGCTGCTGCTGGTCTTTACGAGACGAATAGTAAGGGGGAAAGGATGGAGGAGTGTTGGTCTCGGACGGATTTAGCCGACTCCTCACCGTCGGTACTCGCGATCAGCATGACCAACTCTTCTGGTCTGGCCACTCCCCCCCTCCCCCCTGATCCCCATAACTAATCGTGAGCCGATCGTGTTTGTTGTTGTGGACCAGGGCGGCCTCCTCGCCCACACGAGGCAGGCGGGGGCGCGGTGCCGAGCCGGACCACTGCACGGGCGGCCGCGAGAGGGGAGTGAGTGGGGCGCACACCACGACGAGCAATAAAATGCAATCAAATGCGACATTCGCTTCCATTGATTGATCAATCACGGCCTCGTTTTCGACGTGTTCGGCATGGTGGAACAGGCGCGAGCGCCACGGCTGGCAGAGGGTAAGGGGGGGGAGGCCGACACAGAAACAATAGTATTTGAAGCGATGAGGAGGGTATCCGTCGACACTCACCGCTACCCCCGCTGGTCCTGAGGTTAGTCCCGGCGGGCGTGCGCTCAGCGAACAGGTGGAAGGCGGAGGAGGGCGGCGACTAAGACACGCAGGTGCAGCGCGCCATGACGTCCTGAGGTCGTCCCGCCCGCCGCACGCACCAGAGAGTAACTGGCCCGGCCCAGGCCGCCCGCCAGGCAGGCCACCCGGCCACCCCGCCATGGAGCCACCCCGCCGCACGGCCCCGCCCCGCCCCACCCCGCCCCGCCACGCCTCGCTCCGGGACGGGGGCGGGGCGGGGGCGTCCGGGTGTGGCGCGGGGGGCGTCCCCACGGCAGCGGCGGGGCGGCCGCACCGGGGACGCGCTCTGCGGGCAGGGACGCCCCCGCCGACAGCAGCGCGAGGGCGGTGGGGACACGGCGAACATAGGGAAGGGATACGATGCACCACCATCGGCTCCAATCGGCTCGAGAGCAGACTGTAGCCCAACACAGAGAAGAGTTTTTCACACCCCGTCCTCTAAGATATTTTATCCTTTAAAAAAATATACCCATTGGTTTACGATTTTATTTCATGCCATTATTTGATGTCAAATTCTCATCGCCGTTCGATATACAGGGTGGTCCACAGACCCCTTCCTTTATTTTGCTTATCGCTGAGCGAAGCTCAGTCCAAGTCGCTGAGGGGTCAGGCGTTGTCTCCGTCGTGAGTCTGTCTGTCTGTCCGTGTCTCATTCACTCAATGGACTACGAAACGGCTGCACCAATGACGAAACGGGAGTTTGTTCAATCATTGACATTTCTTAGGGCTGTTTCAAATGTATTTACTTTCAGGATTTGTTTAGTTTGAAATATCCAATAGTTTAATTTGAACTCGCGCGTAGTTTGTTGGTGTGTTGGCAGCACTGCACTCGAGTGGGCAAAGAGCGCAAACGGCACCTGCGCCACTTCGAGACTTTCTTACTCTCTCACAAGTGATCAAATGGTCGGATCGTCAAACCGAGTGTTTTAGTTTTAGTTTTAGAGTTGCGAAACTCAGCCTGCGAAGTTTCGCGAGTGTCCGGTGAGAAGAAACGAAAGTGATATTTCGAATGGTTTACGTGTTTGCTTACGTAAGCTGGAGGGGGGAGGGGGGTACGGGTTCGGGAGGAATGTGAAAAGGTAACTATTGTTTCGACGTCATCTTGACAAAAGAAAACGAAAATGTTTTATGCATCAAGACGATCGGAATCGAAATGGCAGAGATATTCCCCACCAAATTGACAATTTGGTCGTTTTTTGGCACTTTTGTCAGTTTGGGGACCAATAACTCTGCTATTTCAACTCTGATCGGCTTTGAGCATAGGACATTTCCTTTTTCAATTTGAAAAAAAAATCCAAATCTTGCATTACACTTTTAATTTTTTAACTTCTAAAAAAATCCAAATTTTCAATTTTTGTACTTTAACAAAATGTTATGGCGTGTACTTGTAGAATGATTGGAAGTCACCCAATCTTTCATTAGGACATGTCAAAACGATTATTTAACCCACAACTTATTTTCACATAGCCATGGACTTGCAAGGGACCGAACAATCATGTAGCCAATATCGCAAACTCAGGTAGGATAGGCCCATCAAAATCAGTACAAGGTATATTCTTTTCTTAAATGGACTAGCTTTGTCTGGAGTCACATTATGTTTAATGATGTCCAATAAAATTGTGGGAGCATTGAAATTAAACTGTATGATACGATGCATTATAAATAGAACTTTCAATTTAATATACTTCAGTGACTCGTGATTCTTCAAATGTCTCGGAGAAAGCTGATAAAAAAGAATGAAAGGGCGACAAGTTATACTTGTCATAGAAGAGGAGTTCAAATGTATTTTGAAATTGAATTAAATATTAGGGTATTTAATTTCACTTCAACCAGAGGCAATCTAACAGAATTTCACCTTTCACAAATAAAGAGATTTGAATGAAATGTGAGCTTCATATGGCATTACAGAAAAGGGTAAATTAAGTAGGGGGAAGGCAGTGGGGATAGGAAGGGACAGTAGCAGACATGTTCTGTGAGTGAACTGAAGTAAGGCATACATTTAAGGC